CTGATAGTAGATGCTGGCCTTCTCTTTAAGTCATAGGTCCCTTCCTCCAGGGTACCAACTGTTATTTCCAGTGGGGCTGAGTTCCACTATGCTGCTTGGTTATTCTTCCCAAGTACCTGATGTCTCTTCATTCTGTTATACTCAGCAGTTTTTTTGTTTTGTTTTGAGTTTTTTGTTGTTGTTTTGGTAGTCTTTTGGGGGGGAGGGAGGGATGCTTAGAAATGGTATCTTTTTTAAAACTGGCTTGTTTCATGACATTATTTAAATGTATAATTTCTAATTATAATGCATGGTTTACCTATGAAAGTCATCTTATTAGATAATTGAGCAAGTAATAGATTGATTGCATTTGACAGTTCTACATTAGATATGTACAAGGAAATTATCATTTGCTATAATACATTAATACTTTTGGAATATGTCTTTAAAATGTAATTGATTGCCTTTGTCCAAAATAGGAATTTCAGGAGTCTGTGTTGACATCCTTGATTACTTTTATTGACTGTATTTTAGATAAGTAGGTGGTGGCAGTCAGGGAGAGAGAGAGAGAGAAGTAGTTTGGTTATTGAAGTTGGAAACATAAAGGGAATGACAATTAACAGGATTATTGAGAAAGCATATAATTAGTTTGTAGAAGCTTCCCAGACCATCCTCACCCTAACTATTGGGTTGTCGGAAAAGTCATAATGCATTTTTGCAACGAAAAACATAGAAAAAATGTCATGACTTTTTCTGACGACCCAATAGCAGTCATGCATGTGGAGAGTTTGTCCACCACTCTCTGAGAAGTTACTTTAACAAGAAAATTACATAAAACAATGAGACAAGACAGGTAACCCCTGTCCTAAAATCCAAAATTATTCTTGCATCTGTTATATCTTGGCTAATCCTCTGTCTACACTCCATCCTCTTCACCTTTTCTTAGAATTTGGCTTAAATGTCAGCCCCAACCTGTATGCTTGGACCCCCCCTTTCTGTCTGTGTCTTCCTGTAGACTATGAGTTTTAAAGGAGAGGTTATACTCAAATACCCACTGGAGTCTGGCAAGTAACCCTGGGTGGGATTTCAGTAGACTGGAATACCCATGTCCCGTTTAAAGGCAGCAGCTACCACCTGACTTGGTCCAGTGGCTGACAACTTGTAATGCAGGTCCATTCTTTCCAGAGCGCCCAGATCTTTCAGTCTGGAAATCCAGATTTGAATATAACTTTTTAAATGGCAGTTAACTCACATTTTACAAAAACAGTGAATGGACCAAATGTATGTTGGCCAGAATTGGTCCCACAAGTCATGAATTTGCAACCACTGTTCTGGGAAAATGCTTTCTTCTCAGAAGTACATAATAAATATCACTTCTGGAACTTTTTTGACCATATATGCCTAATCTTTAACCCCCAAAATTTAGATTCAACAGGTTTAGCAAAATGTCCCAATGTCAGTCCTGCCCCTCCCTTGTTCTGAGCAATGCCATTGTTATACCCACACCCACCAGGTTTGGCTCATTTAGATACTGCACTGCAGATCAGGCTTCAGTTTGTGCTGCTTGTGTATTTTGGCGCTATATTTCCATTGTTAGCTGGACCAAGAATAAAGGAAGTTGCTCTGACTGTATTCCCATTTGATCTCAACTTTATTCTCTTCCCTACAGACCTTTAGTTTTGAGGCTAAATGCTTGCTGGCTATGACAGCTAGCTGTATGCAAAACTAGAAGAAAAGTTGCTGTTCACCTTACACATAACCCTAAGTAGGGAATAAGACCTATTGATTGCTACATGTGGAGTCCAGGGACTTCTGTTTTTTGTAAAGTCTTAGAAGCTTTTAATCAACTGCTTTTTAGAAATGTCACATCTGTGGGGCTCTGCCAAGGGATTTCCATCTTCATCTGTCCTAATCCCTTGCAGCAGGGCACGACTGAGGTATTTATCTGTATTATTATTTTATTTATTTATTTATTTATTTTTAGGTTTTATTGGGGAAGGGGAACAGTGTTGGGGAATTGGGAAAGGGGAACAGCCAAGTTGTTGTCATTCAGTCTTAGTTGTGGAGGGCACAGCTAGCTCAGCTCCAAGTCCAGCCGCCATCCGGCCACCTGTTGGCAGCTCGCGGCAGCTCAGCTCAAGGTGTCGTGTTCAATCCTAGTTGTGGGTGAGCATAGTCCACCATCCCATGGGTGAGTTGAACTGGAAACCTTGTTGCTAAGAGCGCACGCTCTAACCACTGAGCCATCGGCCCCCCATCAGCAGTTCAGGGCAGCTCAGCTTAAGGTGTCATGTTCAATCTTAGTTGCGGGTGGGCATAGCCCACCATCTCTTGCAGGAGTCAAACTGGCTACCTTGTTGTTAGGATCATGTCTCTCACCAGCTGAGCTATCCTGCCACCTGTTGGCAGCTCAGCAGCAGCTCAGCTCAGGCACAGCTCACTGGCCCATATGAGAATCGAATCGGCAACCCTGTTGCTCAGAGATTGCACTCTTAACCAACTGAGCCACTCAGCTGGTCCTATATTCTAATCTTTGGGAACATTTTTTCTGTGCCAGCAGCACTTGACTGTGTTGAACTTAGAGGCTTGGATTCTTGGCAGTTGAAACTAGCTGAATAGAAACTAGCATGTTTGGGGCCTGGAATCCCTGAACATCAAGGGTAGACCTCAAAAAAGCTTTTGCTGAAAAGGAGATGGTCTCTGATGCAGTCTTACAGGCTTATCAGAATCTAGAGTGTTTTGTGCCCTAAAGACTTCTACAAGGAAAGCTCAGCTGAGTGGATATTATTGTTTACCTGCTTATTTAAAGATTAAAGTTTATACTCGTTTATAAAATTTCAGGAGGACTACATTCTCATTAGGAGAAGCCTCCCTGGAGGACCATAGAGTTACATCACTTATTATTAATCCTGACTGACTTCCTTGGCACTATTCAAATTTTTAGCTTGTCTATCTACCAGGTATCCAGCAGCAAGCCCCTAAATAAAGTTCACAGCTTCTCTGCCAAGGGAGAGCATATGTATCTAAGGACCACTCTGGCTGTAATCTCTGTATTAGCTATCGAGCTAAATTATGCTGTGGTAGCAAATTAACCCCAAATTACACTGATTTACAACAAAGGTTATTTCTTTCTTACATTATATGTACATAATGGATCGACTGGCTCAATTCCATGTCATGTTCGTTCCAGGACCCAGGCTGACAGCAGCCCATGTTTTGGGACATAGCTAATCTTATGGCTGAGGAAATAGAGAAGCATAATGAATCATGAGCTATTTCTTAGCGTTCCTTTCAAAAGTGACGCATACCACTTCTACTCATATTTCATTGGCCAGAGCAAGTCATTGGGCCAAACCAAATGTCAACAGGGAGGGGTAGAGATTAATTTTTTAACAATAATGTAATTAATACAGTTCCACTTCCCCAAGACCTCACAGCTTGTTGTCTTAGGCATCTATTGTCAGTCAACAAAAATAAGCAGAAACGGGGTGAAATCTGTGCCTGAGTATCACAGCAGCAGCCATGGAGCTTGACGCAGCAGCTGTCAACTCCCTTATCTGTTCCTAGGCAATGAGCAGGAACACTTTTATTTCCCCCCAAAGACCTCCTGCCATGTAGAGATAAATAATAACCCCAGTGATGGTCAGTACTCCTATCAAGAACCATTTTCCCCTTGCCTGTTCTCCTTAACTCCACAACTTAATGAATGCGTGCATGCTTCATAAGATACAAGTTGAACCCACTGGTTCCCCCTTCTGGCCTTTGTGAAAAACTCACAAGTAATGTTAGCAGCATACACTGTGCTTATTCTTAAAAGATACAGTTTTTACCTTGAAGTCTCCCCTGTTATATCTAGCTCTTTTTATCAATTCCTGCTGTCAGATTGAGGCTTATGCTCTCTAATGTTAATTGAATTTTTGCTTCCTCACCTTAAATCATACTCTGACAATGTCTCATCCAGTTTTCTTTTTCGTGATTTCAGCATTCTTACTCAGATTCTAATCCTTTGCTGCAGCATTGAGCTCATTACTTTCATGAATCATGTTTTATGTCTAAATAAATTGAACCAATCACTTAACTTCTCTAGACTGTAACAGGTGTTTTATCTGTGGAATATCTCAACTCTCACTCCTGATTTCTGTTTGCCTGCCTTATTCCCTGGTACCTACATGACTGCACTGAAAACCTTTAAAAAGTGTTTTTGGAAAGGTGTGTACATTGTTATACTAGATTAAAATAAATATCTTCATAGGAATACCCTTAAAGTATACAGAGGGTGCCAAAAAAATGTATGCACATTTTTTTGTTTGTTTTTGTTTTTGTATGCACATTTTAAGAAAGGAAAAAACTATTAAAATTATAATACTCAGTGTATACCAAAAGATGAATGAAAGTCACGTTTGACTTCTGCAATTACAAGAGGTGCTCAAAGTAGTTATCATCAGCGTCTAGACACTTGTGATTACAGCAAACTACTGCTTGAGCAACTTTGACCAGAGTGTCCAGTTCTTTACATTTTTTTGGCACCCCTAGTATTTTATTGTATGTAGAATTGTTTACAGATTTAATAAAGTAGGAAATTAGATTTGCTACTTAAATTGCAAAGTTTTAATATTTCTAAGAAATATTTCATTAAACAGAGACACTGGCAAATAAGTATGGTATTTAAAGCCTGTCTCCTACTAGACATTGTAAATATCTGAGTTGCTTGACCCTGGTTTTTAAAATAACAATTCTGGGGCCGGCCAAGTGGCTCAGTTGTTTAAGAGCTCGCTCAAGAGTGTGAGCTCCTGCCCACCCCACCCCCCCAAAAAAAAGAGTGCGAGCTCTGAGCAACAGCGGTTCGAGTCCCCTCCCTAGCTGAGCTGCCGCTGAGGATGGCTCAGCTGAAGAAGAAAAAAAATTATATATATATATATATATATATATATATATATATATATAATTTAAATATATATATTTAAAATAACAATTATGTAAGACAACTTCCAAAATATTCATTCTTCTTTTTTCCTATCTAGATCACAAGAGACTCCTCTTGATGGGCAGCCACCAGCTCTACCACCCAAACAATCGAAGAAAAATAGTTGGAACCAAATTCAATATTCACATTCTCAACAAGATCTGGAAAACCATATTAATGAAACGTTTGATGTTCCATCCTCCCCTGAAAAATCTACTGTAAGTAGCTTCAAATATTCTCATTTCTTTGAAATTTTTAAATCATAAATGAAATTTTTTTTTGTACTGTGGCATGTTTTATCTGTAAGCTATATTATAGTACTTTCTCTTTTTCGTCATATGTTTGCTCATGAATTGTGCCACGATATAATCCAATTGTGGAATTTCCTTTTATTATCATTTATAAAATGTTCATTGCTCTAGAAATTAATTCTTAACAAATTTATTGGATTTTAATCTTGCAGAACACACATTTCCAGAACAAATGCTAATAATCCATTAAATACTATTAACTTTATTATATATAATTCACTGAGTGCAGAGACTTTATCATTTTCATCAACCTTTTGAATATGATCACTCTTTGTTCTACAAAATGTATTTATGAGTTACATTGGTACTTTTGCCTTAGAGAACATGCCTTTACCACAACAAATGGTAAATTGTTAGAATCCTCTGATTTACAAACTTTTATTGCTTTCTCAGGTAGATGTAAATAAATCAAAAGTAAGATTGTCAATAACTTTTAATGACAATCACTTTTAAAAATACACTGTGTTCATGAAGAAGTATAAGGACTTCTTATGTGAGTATGTTTCAGGAATCTTAAAGGGACATTGGGGAATAAAATAAGATGTAGGGAGAGGAGAGTCCACAGCAGGTATCAGCAGTGCCAGAAGTTCCCGGTGGCCATGACACTCATGGCCCTCTCATTTGTTCACTTGTAGCCCTCCTACATTAACTAAAGTTGAAAAGCCACAGGCAACATTGTTCTCCCACACTCTTGCTCCACCACGACAGGCATATCAAAAAGAGAGCAAAATCCTTACCAAAAATGACAGTTTTAGTGCTATCTGTGTATTGATTCTTTTGTATCATTTATTCAGTCATTGTTTCTTAGTTGTCTGCTAAGGTACTTTGGTGGGTAGTAGGATACAGAGACAAGACATGGTCCCTGCTGTTAAATAATCTACTGTCTAGTTTGTTTTTACATTCATGTAAAAATTACCGAGGAACTGATATATAAAGTGCATTGTTATAGGCTTTGGGGATATAATGGAATAAAATAGAAAAAAAAACCTCTGCCTTCAAGTTACTTACATTCTGGGGGATAAGGGCAAGACAAACAATAAACAAGGTAAATAATTTAAACATATAGCATATTAGATAGTATAAATGCTGGGGAGAAATATAAAACAGGAAGGGGCTAAGGAATTGCAAGAGTAGAATGTTACAATTTTAGATAGTATAAGCCAGGGGTAAACTTAGTAATAAGCCATGTCGGTTAGCTGAGGGAATAGCAGGTACAAAGATATGACTGATATGGTCAAGGAACACCAAGGGAGTCAGTGTGGCTAGAGCAAAATAAGCAAATGAGGAGGAGACAGATAAGGGAGAGGGCCAGATCTTAAAAGCCTTGTCTTACAGAGATTTTGTTTTTTAACCCTCAGTGAGATAGGAAGCAAATGCATATACCTATCTAAAGAGAGAAGTAATATGATGTCACTTAAGTTTTAACATTATCACCCTGGCTGTTGTATTGAAAATAGACTGAAACCAAGGTAGTGGAGATAGTTGTTATGAAGTATAAAGTATTCTAAGCAATCAATGGTGATTTGGACCAGAGTGGTGGGTGCAGAAGGAATGAGACATGACTGTATTCAGGGTATATTTTTAGAATAGAGCTAACATAATATGCTGATGGATTGGATGTGGAATACTAGAGAAAGAGAAATCAAGGATAACAGCAAGATTTTTGCCCTGAACAACTATTAATAGAAGGAAGAAGTTATCATTTACTGAGATGTGAAAGGCTACAAGTAGAGCAGGTATGGGTGGAATATCAGGAGCTTAGATTGGGACATGTTAATTTGAGTTGTCTATTAGAAATCCATTTGGAGATAGGATTCTGGAGTTGAAGGAAGAGGTCCAAACTAGAGTTATGACAGTGAGAGCTGATGGCATGTAGACAGTATTTAAAATTATGAGACAGGAAGAAAATCAACAAGTGTGGTGTGTGTAGATAACCTAATAAGAGATTCTAGAAATTGAGTATTTGGTCCTCCAACTTGTAAACATGAGGAAGATGAAAGAAACCAGCAAAGGAGAAGGAGGAGATGCAGACAGAAAGGTAGTCAAATGGCTGATGGGAAGAAATCACAGAGAAAGTAACCAACTATGTCAAATACTACTGGTAAGTCAGGTAAGATGAGGACTGAGAATTGAACTCTCGAGCCACGTGAAAATCTTTGGTGACCTTCATTGGAACAGTTTTGGTGGAATGTTGGGGATGAAAACCGAACTCCAGAAGAATGAGATTAGAGGAACTAAAGACAGCAAATGTGGACAAACTCTTTCAAGAAGTTTAGCAGCAAGAGGAAGGAGAGAAATGGGGCAGGAGCTGGATGGGGAAGTGGAATCCAGAGAGAGTTTTTTTTGTTTTGGGGGGTTTTTTTTAATGGGAGAAATAAAAATATTTCCCAGAAGGTGGGGGAAATGGATAATTCAGGAGAATAGAGAATTGCTGTGGCAATATTCTTGAGTATGGACGAGAGGATAGGATCTAGAACAAGCAAGTATGAAGACAATTTGAAGGCAATATAAGTTCTATAATTTGAACTGATTATAGGGAATTCAAAAGTATGTAAAAATAACGAATGCAGCCTGGGGTTGAGGAAAGACTTCAAAGAAGTGATCGTCTCTGACCTGTCTTGAAGGATAAGTAAGAATTAGCCCAAACACTATCCTCAAAGAGCAGGTAAAAACATGGTAAGTGAAAGAAGCCAGTAACAAATGACCGTATATTGTATGATTTCATATATGTGAAATATCAGCATACAAAAAAGCATACTTCATATATATATGTGAAGGATAGATTATAAATGAAGAAAATTACAAGTTATTTGTTTTTATCTTTTTAAGCCTAATGGTGGTATTCCACATGATAATCTTGTTCTAATCAGAATGAAACCTGACGAAAATGGAAGGTTTGGATTCAACGTGAAGGTAATCTAAAATTTATACTGTACTCAGTTTTTAAATAAAGATGTTTCCGTTTTGCTAATGTTTGTCTAATATTTTATTTTCTCTGTGTTTAAGGGAGGATATGATCAGAAGATGCCTGTGATCGTGTCCCGAGTAGCACCAGGAACACCTGTGAGTTATCTAAATCTTGCAAGTAAATCCTACTTTCAAGAATGTGAAATTTAATAAATTTAAATACAATAATTTTTTATTAGTTTAAATAAAGAAAAAACCAATCATTTATTTAATTTGTCAAGTTTCAAATGTTGGCTTAATAAAATGCTGGGAAGTTAGTTTTTGTTTATTCCCTGTCTGCAAGAGTTTTTAAAATCCTTGTTCTTACAAAGAAGCTATTTATGACTTTCAGTGCTTCTAAAGTGTGACCCCTTTAAACAGCAAAATGTAGACAGAGGAATATTTTTCGTTTGTTTTGCTATTTTGTCTGCTTGTTTTTCATTTAGAATTGTTTACCTAGATTCTGTTTACCTACTCTATGTTTAAAATTTTTACTTTGAATAAAAATAGTACCAGTGATTTCTCTTTTCCCTATAAGGACAATTTTTAAACTTTTTATTATTAACATTCTAAATAAAAGTAGAGATTTAAGTACCCATTATAATGAACCCCACCCTTCCTTACCCTGTTCCCTGTCCCCCGCCCCCTGTACCGATCAGTAAACTTCAGCACTCATGTACTTGATGCTCATCATAGACAATTGTTAATTAATTATGGGTACACTATCTTTATTGCTCTTATATGTAGTAAATATTGCTTTCAGTTTATATTTATGTTGTTGCCTACTTTATCTAAGTGGTCTTCAAGGACTTTTCGATCAGCTCTCTTTATCATTTAACTATCCCCTGAGGCCAGTTACACTTTTTTGGGTGCTTTGCAGCAACCTCAAAGTTGGTTTAAAGATCATAGTCAAGATTGATTAAGGATATCAAGATATATAGTTTTGCTTCTGGTTTTTAAGGAACTGGTTGTTTGCAAATAACAGGGTCCTTACTCATGGACTACCCCTGGTTTGGCATAAATACAAAATTCATCACAGAGCTATAGAGATATCTCACAAAATCCAAGGACAGGAATGCAGTTGGACCTCTAGAAAGAACTTTAAAAATCATCAGTCACTCTATTTTTCATCTCTTTCTTTTTATGTGAATGTTCCATTCTTCTGTCTCAGTGCACTAAATTTGTACACTAAATCAGCCTCATCTCTCAAGTCACTCCAACTAAAATACTCTAAATAAAAACAGTGGGGCCGGCCGAATGGCTCAGTTGGTTAAGAGCTCGCTCAAGAGTTTGAGCTCTGAGCAACAGCGGTTCGATTCCCGGCCCGAGCTGAGCAGCCGCTGAGCTGCCAACAAGTGGCAGGATGGCTCAGCTTAAAAAAAAAAACAAAAAACAAAAAACAGTGTATTTAGTAGCTGCTTCAAGTCAAGTCCTATAACATCACCACCACCACACACACTCTACCTTCAAATACAATTATGACTCCTAAACCTCTACTAAATAGTGGTCAGCAGAGTGGCTCAGTTGGTTAAGAGCGCGAGCTCTGAGCAACAGGGTCGCTGGTTCCGCCGGTTCGATTCCCACATGGGCCAATGAGCTGCACCCGAGCTGAGCTGCCGCTGAGCTGCCAACAGGTGGCATGATGGCTCAGCTGGTGAGAGCACATGCTCCTAACAACAAGGTTGCCAGTTAGACTTCCGCATGGGATGATGGGCTATACCCACCCACAACTAAGATTGAACATGGCACCTTAAGCTGAGCTGCCGACAGGCAGCCAGGCATAGGATGGTGAACTATGCCCACCTGCAACTACAATTGAACACGGCACCTTGAGCTAGGTGGCCGGATGGCAACTGTACTTGGAGCTGAGCTAGCTGCGCCTTTCACAACTAAGATTGAAGGACAACAACTTGGCTGTTTCCCTTTTGCCAATTACCCAATAGTGTTCCCCTTCCCCAATTCCCCAATAATATTTGAAAAAATAAATAAATTTCTACTAAATAGAAATTGGTTAGCTGCCACTATTCCACTCCTCAGTCCATGTGGTCAGATACGACTGCTGGTAACTTCCAGATTTACATACTACCAGCTTAAGCAACCCAGAATAATTAAACCTGTCCAAATGATAGACTCCGGTGAAGTAAACCAATCATAGGTCCAGTTTGGATCAGATGTCCTCTTTTAACCCTCTGTTGGGTGCAGCTGATCTCACAGAATCATTGCACACAAAGATGCCGCTGTGAAATACGTCTTTACTGTACTAAGTGACAAACACAACTGGCGATAGGTTACAGTAGAGGGGAAGATACGGAAGCGATGAGTCACAATACTTAAGTTAACTGTTAGATATTTGAAAATTTGTGTGCAATGAATCTGTGCGATCAGTTGCGCCCGACGGAGGGTTAAACAAATTTTGTGGTCAGAGGGATCAGGACAGGGGTATGATATATAAAATGACTCGAGTCTACTATGCATATGAAAGATAGGGACCAAGCTGGGAGAAATAGTCCAAAATTATTTAGTATATATTTAATGGGAAATATGTATGTGTTTGGGACTGCAAATGAAGAGATGAAAGATTGCTAAATTCTCACCTATTGAGTAGAAATTTAGAAATGACTAAAATAGAAAACTAAAGAAAAAACAAATGGGGATGTTAGGTACAGATTCCAAGGTAAAGACAAAAGATGTAGCTAAAATGTTGAAAGACAATGTCTCTAGAGCAGGGGAGATGGTACGGAAGAACACAAGAAGTGGTTTCTAGTCTTAGAAATCTTACAGACCAATTCTTTAAACTGTGTGATATATAACTTAGCTAAAACCAAAAATTTTAACCAAAACTTTTTAATCAAATGTGTATCTTTTGACCTGACAATTCCATTTTTAGGAATGGCCTCTAATGAAACAGTTGGACTAGGGAACAAAAGATACACAAGGATGTTGGTTTTAGTATTGTTTATAATGGTTAAAAATTGGGAGAAAATTAAACTGTACATCATTAGAGTTTGTGAAATAAGTCATGCATTGCTTTGCAGCCATTGAAATGTTGGATGATGTACTTCTATATTAATATGGAAATATGTTTATAAGATGGCATTACAGAAAGTGCATATTATAATTCCACATATATGTTGGATCCAGTTTTTTTAAATGTGAGCAATGTGCATAAAAGAAGTCTGGAAATATGCTTAAAATGTTAACAGTGTTTCATCTAGGTAGTGGAATTACTGGTATTTATCACTTTCTTCCATATTCCTTTTTTTTAATTGTCTGAATCATGACAGTGAGCATGTATTGCTCTTATAATTAGAAAAGATAATAAACCTTTTTTGTTATGCCAATTGTAATAGTCAGTGAATGACACAAAAGCAATATTGATTTTTCTAAACAATGAATGTGGATAGTTTTTAATTAAGTCAAAGATGGTTAGGGAACATTTGATAGACAGGTTCATTTCCAAACAGAATTCTGTGACTCTAAATTTTCTTTTTAGGCTATAAAAGTTATTGGTAATTTTTTTCTTTCTGCCACATAGAACTATGTTTTGTAAATATTGGGCTAAATTTGGAACAAATTAAAACAGCAGAAAGTTATCATTTCTATATTTTACTAATTTAGAGACCATCACATTCTTCCAATTGGAAACTTCATTTTAAAGTGATTGAAGGAAAAGGACAGAGTGTAAATATTTTAATGTCTTTTTACATTCATTGGACACCTTCTGAAATGAATAAAATAATTTCCATTTAAAGTCATGTTTTATTTCCTATCTGATCATCTTTGAGCCAATAGCTGTTGCTCCAACGAAATTCATTTTAATATACAGTTTATCTTGACTTGCCAGATCATAATGCAAATAAAAATTATACACATACCTGACAAAAACAAATCAAGTATGAGAAAGTTCCCTTCAGTGATAATGGGTAAAAAAAATCTCTGCATGTCATAGCATATTGATTAATATACTCGCCTGCTACCCTCAATCCCTGAACTGGAAATATCAGTGGATATCCAGTTAGAGATTCATAGCTGTCTTCTCTGTAACCATAAACCACCTCCTTTTTTCCAGCAGCTACACTATCCACAAAGTAAGGTGAGAGGATAACTTTTTGCTATAACTCATTACATTTCTCCCACTACCATACCATTAATATCTCCCAATTCACTCCTTGTTAGTACCTCAAAGACATTTATAGAAACTTGGGACCAAATTGGTACACAAAAGCATCACAGTGCTAGCACACAGAGGGGTATACAAATATCATCTGCTCCACTACAAGAAGTAGAGAAAGAAGCAACTAGAGAGAATGGTATAACCTTAAATTTGAATTCTCCAGACTTGAACACTTTGCAAAATTATCTCATTTTTATCTTCACAACTCTGAAATAATTAGAGCAGATCTCGGCTCCATTTTCAGAGTTTCAGGTGTCCAAGATCACACATTTCATAAGCAGTAGAGGAAAAACATGGCTCCTAGACCTGTGCTCTTTCCACTAATGAAAATACCATGTTGAATTTTATTGACTTGGTATTTATAGTGAGTTTGAGTCGTCGTGCTTTCATCTGAGTAGGCATGCTTTCATTTCTTCAAGGCCTTGCCACTGGAAGTTCCTTTTTTGTTTTTTCTTTTTTTGTAAGGTCCAACCCTGTTGTCATTTCCTTCTCTATCTGACCTATCATCGTTCAAACTTGACTCCCATAAATCCTTATTGCTGTGTTCCTGGAACATGCTGTCCATATTTCTGTTTATCTCTTTTACTTTAATTACTTGTTTTCTCAATAAAATACAAACAGTCCTCACTTTGTGCAGTAGTGCAGGACTGTAAAAATGACCATTCAAGCTGAAAGTGCAAAGTGACCTTGATAATCACTGGGGGAAAATCCCAATTGTTTCCATGAACTTTAATTTTTTTATGAAAACAATAAAATCTCTCTACTTCTCTTATTAATATATAGGGAGATGAAAAAACAATAAAACTAATACTGATTTAGTATCCTATAAGTCTAAACATTAGAAAATTGAGAATTTAAGTGTTTTATTTCTTTGTAAAAACTTATCACAAGCAGTTTGAACAGAGCTGTGTCCTCGTCATGTAACTTAAGATACAACACGAGCATTCTTTCTTGCCTTGGCGAATTGTCATAATCCTTTCCAAGTCTATATTCATTTCCAACATTTTGTCCTCTGCATTTTCAATGTTGTGAGATATCTCTAATGAGATGTTCTTTTAATGAGACATTTTTTGCCAACATCACTTCCTCATGGACGTCTTCATCCTTCTCATTACAGCCACTGTCATCATTTATGTTAAGTTCACCTTCACTAAATCCCTGTCACTGTACACCTAGAGTCTCTCAAACAGTAGTCATGTACATCATATGGCTTCATCATCAGCTATTTCTTTTATAACTCCACTTACATTCAATTTGAATTTCACTTCTAGCAGTATCACTTTTTGTTTCTTTGCTGCACTCTTAACTTTTTTGGCCAATTCCCTCTTTAGATTATCCATTTTTATGTGAGTTTATCACTGGGAGTCAAGGAAACAACACAAGTTTGCTGTCTCTGCATGAACTGAATAACAGATGTATAGTGACAAATCACCAACAGACTTTGAAAGAAGTGATGTGATTGGTCACGGATCATGATGTGTGTCTGTATTTATGTGGTGATTTTTGGACTGATGAGCTAGCAACAAAGTTTGTACTTCATGCAATTAATTATTCACAATTAATGTATCATGGTAACTGAAAGTTGTATCATGTTGTTGGGAGACGTGTTATTTAAGTAAACTGTGGTAACTGACATTTGTACATATCTGGATGGTGCAAGCAAGGGCTGTCTCTAGGCACCTACTAGTCTTAGCTGTATGTCTAAGCATATTATAGGGCATCAGAAAAGAAGGTATTGAACAAAGAAGGAAAAAAATACATTGTCTTCATGGGAAAGCTACATTTCTACTTCTCTCTCTTTTTTTTTGTTTGTAATAGATGGATGCTTTTCTAAATGTAGTTTTAGTTCTCCTGCTATAGAGTCTATAAAAATAAATTTTCGTGCTTTACTTTTAGAAAGCCATGTACAAATCTGAAACCTTATCTGCATTACATCACAGGCTGACCTCTGTGTCCCTCGATTGAATGAAGGGGACCAAGTTGTTCTGATCAATGGTCGGGACATCGCTGAACATACCCATGATCAGGTTGTCCTGTTTATTAAAGCCAGCTGTGAGAGACATTCTGGGGAACTCGTACTTCTGGTTCGACCTAATGGTACGTACTCTACCCAGCACTGGGTATTTTTCATAATTCATTAGTATTTATTACTAGACATAGCAGCCAGAGGAGGCTTTTTAAAACCTAAGTCATGTCATGTCATGGAAGCACAGTGGCTTCCGTTCACACTTGGCGTAAAATTCAAATTCTTGACGCCCTTGCCTACCATTCTCCTCTATTCTCTGCTGACTTTCTTGCTGTTCCTTCTGCCTAAAACACACTTCCTGACTTTTGTATGGCTTATGCCCTCATTTCCTTCAGGTCTCTGCTCAAATGTCATCCTCAGAAAGTCCTTCTCTCCTGACTACTGTAACTAAAATGTCCTCCCTCTCTTCTCAGTTGCTCTAGTAGTTGTAGTGGCTACTCAGTGACTAATTGTTGAATGAATGAGTAAATTTTGAACTCTGTTCTACTGTCAGAAAACTCTGACACAAGCTGTAGTTAAAGCATTTTTTTGAAAATCCTGTCTATGTTTTTAGTGCGATAATGCCCAGTAGCATAATCATGTCATCTACTCTGGACAGCTGACTTGTAAATTCATAGACAAGAGTCTCAGGCTTGGAGAAACCTTCCTGTCATATGTGCCAGCTCCTTTGCTGACTGCTTGAGTTCCTCTACAACAATCTCAGAACATCCTGCCTATGCAGAGTATTCAGTGGCCCCTGAAGCAGGTCGTTCCCCTTGGATAGCTTGAACTATTTTTTTTTTTTAAAGATTGGGGGATGGGAACAGCCCTGGGGAATTGGGGGAAGGGGAACAGACAAGTTGCTGTCGTTTTTTTCTTCAGTCTAGTTGTGGAGGATGTTGCTTCACTGGCCCAAGTTGGCACCATCATTGCGCTCTTCCTGGGCAAGGCATATCAGTCGCTGGCTTCTGGGTGGCCGCTCACTGCAGCTGCTGGCTACACACGGTAGCCCATGACAACCCACTGCAGCAGGGGCTGCAGCCTACGCAGTCACCGGTGACTCACGACAGCCCTGCTCCAGGTTGAGCTGTTGTTCAGCATCTTAGCTGTAGAGGGCAGTGTCACTAGCCCTCATATGTGGGATCCGAACCGGGGCCCTCTGGCATCCCAAGCCTGTTCCCAACCACTTGGCCGGCCCAGCTTGAATTATTAATTGAACTAAAAATCCAACTTCCTTCGGTCCTCATTTTCCTAATTCTATCACTTTGTGCTATGCACGATAACTTTAATGCAGAATAAGTTTAATCCCTCTGCCTTCAGCTTTTTGACAATAGCTGATTTTACTAGAAACTCTCCCACTTTCTCCAGTTTAACAGCCACAGATCCTTCAGCCAGTGTGCATATGGCATTCTTTCAAGTTCCCTCAACACTCCCATCAGTCTTCTCTGAGAAAAAATTCTTACAGACGCATTCTTCTAGTTTTGTTCTTAACAGTTTTCTATTAATCAGTTTTAGCCACAAGAGTAATTCTTGGTTAATTCCATGTACCAGTTGTTGAAGAATATCATAGAGAATTAAGTGTAATTAGAGCTCTATCTATTCACCCACCATACCCAGCCATGTAAATTTTTGCAAGGAAGAGCACGAAACTTATTTTGCCTATTGGGTACAAATAGGCATTTTCATTTTATCGTCTCTACTTTTTTTTTGTTTGTTTTCATGGTCTAGAATTTGCTTTCTAGGAAAATTCGAAGGACTTCAACAGAACATTCTATTTTGACATTTCAAGGAACTCATTCATTTAGACCTCATATTTAGGTGATTCATTATTAGGCATTTTCTGTCACTGTTAGGCATTTTCTGTCACATGAAGCACTTAAACTTTATACCAAGAATAATATTCTCCCTATTTTGTTCTATTTTCTCTTGATAACATACTAAAGAATTAATAATAATAATAATAGTTTTTTAGTGCTTCCCATGCACCTGGACTCTTTTGTATATTCCCATTTAATTTTCATAGCCATTCATTGAGATAGATTAATTATCCCCAATGATAGATTAATTATCCCCAATTTATAGTTGAAGACACTTTGGCACCAACACATTCAGTTATCAGCTCACAGATTCATGAGTAGTACAGGCCCAGAAGATGAACAAAAGTCCAAATAACGGAAAAGTCAGGGCTTCTTGCAGTTCATATCACCTCATTTATACTTTAAATTAGGAGAGGAACCCACATAGGGCTTACTTTTGACAGAAGATCTTTCAAATGTTATTTTATTGTCAAAATCTGGACCAAGACCTGTATTCACTTTCAATGTGAGTCTATTATGTCCATTTTTATTTAAAATAACGTACAGCAGGTCCTCAAATGATGTTTTGTTCAACGTCGTTTTGTTATAACATTTATGGGAAAAATGAAAATGATTCCTGGCTGGGGCCACTATCTGGGTGGAATTTGCACATTCTCCCAATGTCTATGTGGGTTTCCTCTGGGAACTCTCATTTCCTCCCACATCCCAAAGACGTGCACATGAGGTGAACTGGCGTGTCTACATTGTCCCCGACTGAGTGAGTGTGGGGTATGTGTTAGCACACCCTGCGATGAAAGGACGTACTGTCCAGGGTGGGGTCCTGCCGTGTGTCCTGAGCTGCTGGGAGAGGCTCTCACCACCCTCAACCCTAAACTGGAATAAGCATGTTGGAAAATAATTATCTTACTTGTTTTTATTAATTTTTCTTAAATGTATGTATAGCTCGCATTTATTTCAATGTTTAATATTAGTAGTATTATGGATCTTTATTTAGAAGTTTGGTGATGTTTTTGTGACCAGAAATATATAGGGACTTAACTCTTGTTTATATCAATTAGCCTCCAGTAAAACTGGCTTCATTGTATGTCGTTTTGCTCAAAGTCGGAGTTTCTAAGAACTTATCAACAACATTGAAGACGTGCTATATAATCAAACTTTAAAATTATGCTTGCCAAAAAAATTAGGAAAACAAAAAACTTGTTTTTCTGGTCTTTTCCCTTTTAAATCTTTTCTTCTTAGACAAAATACATTCATACCATTTTGTCTTTTCATTTTCCAGAAATTTATTCTTCTCAAAAGTGCCTACATATCTGAGCAGGAAACAAATCTCTTTGACAAGGACATTGGAGAGCCATAGCTTGGCTCCATCCTTTAGAAGGCTGTACTCTGGCTCTCCTTCAACTTTGCCGCCCCTCCTCTCCTAACCACCACCATGGAAGTCAGGATTTTGCAGGAGCAAGGGGTCATGCCAAGCTATTACCCCTTCCTTCCTAGACCACTTATTTCAACCCTCAGTTCTCTGTCCAAATAGCTCTGAACCCACTGCTGGGCCTGCGTGGCCATTTCCTCAGGTCGATTTTCCCAAGGTGGCTCACATGATGTATATACACCTAGGCCAGCAGGGTGGCCAAGAGGCAGCAATTTGCAAAAGTGTGTAGAACAAGCTTACATATAGACTGAATTTTCATGTTCATAGGTCCCCATGTTTAAGACTAGAGCTGACAGTGGGAAAAGAAGTAAGGTGGGCCATAGGCCAGAGTCTACAGTCTGGCTCTCCTCACTACTATGACCATGAATTTTGGCCTAGATTCTCAATTGAAAAATGGCCTCCCAGGTTGTTTTGTACATGTCAAGGAAAGAGGATAAAACATACTTTGTTTAGCACTTCGTTCAATTTATTTGTAACCTTTCAAAACTAGACATACGGTATATAGGCCCGTATTCGTACGCTTGCCCTAGATCCCTCAGATAAATAGGAGGCCTGTTCAGAGCTGCTCCTTGGCAGCTCTTCTTTGTCTTAATGTCTCCTCAAGTTACAGACATTTTTAGCAAAGGAACCCTTTTGGCCAAGAACCCTTCTTTTCCCCACAGGTGTGTAGCAAAGTTTAACTCCACAGCCACTCTTCGTCCCTACATCGTGGTACCAGACTCAGATCTGATGAATTATAAATAAATAAATAATTTTTCCTGACACATAATTAAAGAATATATTTGGTAAATTCCTTTCATCAATTCATTAAGATTTCCATGTGGCTTTTTTGTGGTTTTTGTTTGTTGCTTTAGCTATCTATGATGTAGCAGAAGAAAAGCTAGAAAATGAGCCAGACTTCCAGTACATTCCCGAGAAAGCCCCACTAGATAATGTCCATCAGGACGACCATTCCTTGCGTGAGTCAATGATCCAGCTAGCTGAGGGGCTTATCACTGGAACAGTCCTGACACAATTTGATGTAAGTAATACTGTCTGGTTTCTTAACTGCCTTATCTGTCAGTTATAATTTACAAACTAAAATGGTATTCTGAGAAATATTTGACATAAAAAGAGTTCTAAAATACAAAGTTTTTAAAATTGCTCCCAAAATACTAGCCATGGTTACATAAAAAGATGTCTGTTTAAAAGAGAGATTGAATAAGGAAATTTTATTCATATGTCATCAAACTAAATTTTTTCTGCAATTAGCTGTTTTTATGAAAGTTGGCAGATGAAGATGTACTATTGTAGACTTCAAAATCTTGAGTTAAAGGAAAATAATTTTTGTACTGTGTCAGATTTAATCCTTCTGTAATTTTTGTCAGTGTAGTTGGCCATCATTAATATTTGTTGCCTGGAAGTATATGTTATAGATAAGTGACTATAAAGCATTTATAACTAAAAAACACTTAGGGTATGTCAGTTTTTCTTTTAAAAAGTCCTTGGTTTATATATTACAAACATCTGCAAGCTAAATGAAAGCTAAATATTTTCTGCATATTTGCTATTCGAAACTGAAGGTACTTTTTTACTTAAGCAAAATTATTCTCACTTGTTTTACCATTCTTCAAAATATGATATATAATTCATGTCAGAAATTATGCGGAATTCAGCTTTGCAAATCTGGTTTAATACCCTACAAGCCTAAGGTGTACATCATTTTATAGATGAGGTATTCTAAGAAAAAAACCTGTTTCTTATTAGCATAGACGCAAGACTGAAAAACAAAACAGAAACTCTTGATGGCTTGCTGGACCTATCTTGTACTTTTTTTTTAGCAACTATATCGGAAAAAACCTGGAATGACAATGTCTTGTGCCAAATTACCTCAGAACATTTCCAAAAATAGATACAGAGATATTTCGCCTTGTAAGTATCTTTGATCTCTGTATGTTAAGTTTAATCTTTTTAACATTACTTTATTAAAACATTCTTTCTTTGAAATTTTTTCAGATGATGCTACACGGGTCATTTTAAAGGGTAATGAAGACTATATCAATGCAAATTATATAAATGTAAGTTTATTTTTATTGTGTCTTTGTCATTGGTATAAGAGGGGCCACTATAAACTTTGAGACTTATTCCTCTTTGTTAAAAGCCTAACCTTGACAGAATATTAAAATTTTCAGATATTGAGAAATATTATAAAATTAATGTTAAATAGTTTGGTACTGGCATATTTAATATATAAGTATACATAGAGCAGTGGAATGAAATAGTCTAGTCCTGAAATAAAGACTAGAATTTTGTTTATGACAGAGATAGCCTTTTAAATCATTGATGATAAAACATTACCTAGTGAATGGGTTAGGTCTACTGTGTATAGAATATATCATTATAAGGAGGTGTCCCCTCTTGGGAGAAAAAAAAAATTATTACTGTTTTCCTAAAGTTTGTAATATAAAAAATTTCAAACATACAAAAGTAGAGGAAAAAGTGAAATGAACTTTTATATTTATGTAGATATACACATCACTCAGCTTCATCGATTATCATTCATGGCCAGCTTTGTTTCACCTATACCCCTACCATGCCCTACGTGCCCAGATTGTTTTGAAACAGATCCATACATCATATCACTTATCTATGAACTTTACCTACCAGTCTTGATGCCAACATACATGTTAGATATATGAAAATAATCAATGTAAGAAATGGAGTCATGAAATAATTTGGAGGAAATATGTTAGAATTATTTAAAATCTTAGAAAGCAGAAGGCTTTTTCTAAGCTTAGAAAACATGTCTATGATATAAAGAAAAGATTGGTGAATTTGGCAATGTAAAAATTTTAATCTGGGGGATGCTTAAAAAGTACCAAAGTGAAATGGCAAACTGAATTTTTAAAATACTACAAAGGGCTTATTTCTTCAATATACAGAGAGCTGTATAAATGAATAAGAAAAATAAATACAGTACAATGAAAATAATGAAGGCTATACAAAGACAGTTCACAGAAAAGGAAGTTCAAATGACATTTAAAAAAATTTTATGGTATTTTCAAATCTACAAAAGTAGAAAGAATAGTGTGAAGATACCAGCCACCATAAACCTGTTACTCAATTTCAAGAACTACCAACAAATGGCCAATCTTATTTCATCTAAACCCCACCCCCCAGATAATTTTTTTTAAATCCCAAATATATCACTTTTTATATAGTCAATTCTTGTTATTTGTGGTAGTGATAGTCTATAAAGTCTTCATTAACCCTGAATTAGTAAATACTGAATCCTTGCTCCAAGGGGAAATAGAGGTTAAGTTCCCTTGAGCCTCTATTGGCAACATTTTTGTCAGGTGATCAGTACATAACCTTGTTTCTATTTAAACACACCTTATTTAATACACATTGTTGATCAATTATCATTGAGCTCATAGTCACCAGTACTATAACTCATGCCTGAAGGAAGCTTATCTAAGACATGTGATTTCTCTGTAAGGCATATCGCTTCTTACACATAGAAGACTAGGCAGCACTTGAGCACTAACTACCCTTGGGGACGATTTTAAACCGTGAAATCACCAATAAGCACAAAAATTCAAAAACTAAATAGACTGCAAAAAGAACACTTGTTTACAGTATGAGAGCAGAAACAAGAAGGCAGAACGGTGTCTTCTTCAGCATTAACTGGAAATGTACATGTTGGGTGACTCCAATTTTTCACCTTTTTGGACATGTTTCTAAATAACCATGAAAGCTCTGCAAGTATTTTGGGGTTACAAATAAATTTTAGCAAGTAGGCAAATTTGCAAATACACAATCTGTGAATAATGAGGATTGACTATTTTAGTATGTATTTCTGAGGACACTTTTTTATTTGTTTATTTTTTTAGCAAAACCACAGTACCATTATAACACTTAGAAAAAATAACAATAACAGTTAAATAATACACTCAACTTAATTCACAAAAAGTACAAATCAAAACTGCAAGGAATTGGGCCGGCCGAATGACGCGTTGGTTAAGAGCTGGCTTGGGACACCAGAGGGCCCCGGTTCGGATCCCACATATGAGGGCCAGTGACGCTGCCCTCTACAGCTAAGATGCTGAGCAACAGCTCAACCTGGAGCTTGGCTGCCGTGAGTTGCCGGCGACGGCAGGTGGGTTGCCATGGGCTGCCGTGTGTGGCCGGCAGCCAGCGTGAGCAGCGGTCCAGAAGCCGGCGACTGATCTGCCTCGCCCAGGAAGAGCGCAATGATGGTGCCAGTTTGGGCCAGTGAAGCAATGACCTCCACAACTAGACTGAAGAACAAAAAAGCACAGCAACTTGTCTGTTCCCCTTCCCCCGATTCTCCAGCACTGTTCCCATCCCCCAATTCCCCAATAAAAATCTTTTTTAAAAAATGTTAGGTTTACAAAAGTATTCAGTGCAGCTTTGTTTATGGTAGCAAATAGGTTAGCAGCAACTTAAATGTTTGTTAAATAAAGTATGGTATATTTGTGTAGCATAGCCATTAAAAAGAATATAATTTTATTTACTAATCTGACATGATCTCAAAGATAAAGTAAGGGAAAAGAAACAATGCATAACAACATTATGTTTTACAAGAAAAAAGGGAAGATAGTTTTGCATGTTCATTTGTGTGTGGTATATAGAATATCTCTGAAAGGATATATTAGAAACTAGAAAAAGGATTGCTCTCTGCATATAAACTGAAGGATAGAATGGAAGGGAAATTTTCTCTATTCACCCTTTGGTATTTTTTCATTTGCCATATGCATGTCACCTTTTCTTCTTTTTAATATAATCTCAAAATATAGTAGGATGATGACTCATCTTCCCCAAATATTTGTAACCTTTCTTCTTGCAAAAAATAATGATTTTAAAATATTTTTCTAATATTCTTTTATTATATATACATTTATGTATACGTAATTACATATGTATACATATATACACACATATATATATATATGTTATATATATATATATGTGTGTATGTATAAAATGTAAAATCTAAACTAAAACAAATGGCAGAACTTTTGCTTCTCACAAATTTTACCAATAAGTGTTGAGAGATAAGTATTTTTTATTTCTGTACCAAGTCTCTGCCTCTGAAACCCGGTTCTCTGTAAAACTGCTCTTAAAACCATAATGGTCTTTGGAAAGTACTAAAATTTCTGTTTTCACTAATTACTGGCCATTTCCAATACATTTCTTCTACAGATAAAGTAAATTGTTGATGAAGATTTGTTTTACTGATTTTGCATTTTATTGAGATTAATTGTATTCAATTACCATTTAGTGAGTGATTTTCATATGTTTGATTATAGTCAAAAGTAATAATGCGGAAGATCTTATTTTTGTGTCTATTTTTTTTTAGATGGAAATTCCTTCTTCTAGCATTATAAATCAGTACATTGCTTGTCAAGGGCCATTACCACACACTTGTACAGATTTTTGGCAGATGACTTGGGAACAAGGCTCCTCCATGGTTGTAATGTTGACCACACAAGTTGAACGTGGCAGAGTAAGTCATACTTGAATCTTACACATTGCTTGGGCTTTTTTCAAATTACATTGTATATACTATTCATGTTAAAATATTCACATTAATGTAATCTTTTTTGTAACTTTTAAATCCATAGAGGACAGAAAGTAGATTAATGTTTGTCTAGGTCCAGAGTGGGGTAAGGGAAATGGGATAGAGAAATGCACAATGATGACTAATGGGGATGGGATTTCTTTTGGGAGTGATGAAAATGTTCTAAAAGTGATTGTGGTGATAGTTGCACAGCTCTGTGAATAAACTAAAAATAATTGAATTATGTACTTTAAATGGGTGAATTGTATGGTATGTGAATTATATGTCATAAAGCTATTTTTTAAAACCCTAACTATGAAAACAAATGGATTGCATTTGGCGTTTTAGTTGAAGATTCTTTCTCATTGTTAACTTAAATCTAAAAAATACCAAAATTAGTGCACCATTTGTCATCCTCATAGTAGTAATTGATTCAGGCAAGAATTAATCATAAATGGTAAAACACTGGGTGAAAGCTTGTTGTCAACAGGGTATTTGCAGTCTCAAAATATATCCAAACAATTATTATAAAGAAACAAAAAGGGGAAAGAAGAAATGTTTATAGTTGGCAGATCTAGGTGAAGCATGTATGAGAGTTCATTAAAATATTCTTGTAACTTTTCTGTAAGTTTTAAAGTGCTTAAAAATTAAAACATTTTAAAAATTAGAGAACCTGAATTATATGTATGTATGTATTTTAAATATTAATTTCAGGTTAAGTGTCACCAATATTGGCCAGAACCCACAGGAAGTTCATCCTATGGATGCTACCAAGTCACCTGCCACTCAGAAGAAGGAAACACTGCATATATCTTCAGGAAGATAACACTATTTAACCAAGAGGTAGGAGGGCAAGATATTCATTCATTAGAACTGTTATGTTCAAGGTAAAGGCTTTGAAAGTTGAAAATGGTTTTAGTCTTGAGTCCTGGTTACTAGGAAATAATTATCTTAAATAACTGAACTATTTGATTGATTGGGATGCTTTGAAATCTCATGAATTGTGTTTTCCTACTATAATAAATGTATTTCCAATTTCTGTAGGTAAATATGAATGGTCAGTGGAAAAAGGATCTAGTAAATAAATACTTATTACTCTTAATACTTTGCCTATTCATAAAAATTATACCAGGGGTATGTTAATCATTTTTTTCCACCAAGTAATATCAATAAAGCATTTGAGTACATCTGTAGAAATGGAATGAACACTTGTAAGCTGTCAAAATATTCCCCTTTTTTAGGAGTGTAAAGGAGAGAAATTTCAGTCTCCTCAGTATTAAGGAGAAAAGGTCATAGGCAGGACCGTCCAAAGATAGATTATAGCTTTCTAATTGCTAGTTCTTCTTACTGCCATCTGGGTCACTCACCTTGGCTTCCAAATCCAGAGCCCAAAATGGAAACCGATTAATAAATGATGGCTGAATAACCCAATTGGAAGATGTGTGTGGAGGATGGCATGCTGCCAGTCATGTCAGGCTGTTAGCGACAGTACACCACACTTTCACTGCCTGCAGCTAGATATTCCCCTGTCACCCACCTTTGGTCTTGAAGGGAGCTGGAAGAAGAAATAATCGCTAGAGAAGAGCAAACAGCATAAGCTATGAAGACCCAGGCCTTTCCCATCAATGGCCTTTGGAAATGAGAACTCCATTCCCCCTCAGCCCTCACCCCCCTGAGTATGATTGAAGGAGCCCAACGAGTTATAGAGCCTTACTGACCAAAACAGGAGCTAGAAGTTGTGCTGATTTCTATTAAAGGAATCTGGCATTGAATAAAGCTAAAGTTACAAGAAATAAAAAATTAAAGTTTCAAAATCTTATTGGGCTAGAGATTCCATCAGAATGAATTTAGTGTTTAGGGGTACATACTGTATAGCTCATAGTCTAACATACAAGGCAAGCTAATAAGACATTTCTTCATTTTCTCAAGTAGATATGAAAGATAGGCTGTATATGGTTACATAAAATAATATTTACATCTTCAGCATAGTCTCTGTTGTTCTCCACCTATGGATTGTCCACGGCCATTTTGTATACTGTAGTGGCTTTTCTTTGCAAACCCTGAGTACCTCAGAGCTGTGCTAATACACAAATTAGTTTCTAAAGTTTGACCCAAATATAATTGGGGAAACAAATTTGCTATCATAAATACATATATACATGAATGGAGAGACAGATACTACCCCAAAACTTAATAAAATATGATTTTACATTACCCGTTCTTGTAGTTTATTGGTACCATTAAATTCTTTTGTTAACAATAATAATTAAAGGTAGTCTAAATTAGATACCTTCAATTCATTTTTCATCGTTACAGGATTCTTTTACAGTTATTAAATTTACTGAGGTATTCTTGCATTAGTCCCTGTCTTTTTTTCTTTTTTTTTAAGATTTTGGGGAGTTGGGGGAGGGGAACAGATAAGTTGCTGTCCTTTTGTTCTTCAGTCTAGTTGTGTAGGACGTCGCTTCACTGGCCCATGTTGGTATTGCGATCATAGTGCTCTTCCCGCCTGAGGCAGATCAGTCGCAAGCCACTGGACAGCTGCTCACAGCGGCTCATGGCGGCTCATGGCAGCCCCACTGCAGCCTCACTGCAGCCTAGCAACTTATGGCAGCCCAGCTCCAGGTCGAGCTGTTCTTCACCATCTTAGCTGTAGAGGGCAGTGTCACCAGCCCTCATGTGGGACCCGAACCAGGGCCCTGCTGCTCAGAGCTCGTGCTCCCAAGCCAACTCTTAACCAATGAGTCACTCGGCCAGCCCCAGTCCCTTTCTTAATTACCTTTACTTTTTCATGGTCTTTTCTGGAAACTCCCTTTAATGTAAATGATAATAACCAGATTCGTTGTTGAATGACTATAGCTACCAATTGTTAAGCATATGATTCCAAACAGCTGATTGGGAGATTTATAGGTCCTCTAATAGAATCCTTTCAACATAAGACTATCCCTTTGAGATGTAGATGTTATTTCATTTTCAGCTGAAGAAAGTACCTTAACTGACAGAGTCCAGATGTGTGAATCCGGTGGCTTTTTCTCTATTATACCAACTCTTGGCTCCTAAAAAAGAATTAAGCCCTGATTTGAATTTGTGTTTTTATAATCTTCAGTTTTTAATTTACATTTATTTTCAGATTTTATTTTCCTGATCTTCCATGATTTCACTTGTGTTTTTTAGGATTAGCCCAACTTTGTTCATAATTTTTTTTTTTTTACTTTGCCATTTTTGTTCAACCAGTTCTTTAGTTTTCTTTAAACATTTTTCTAAAACTTAACTTGTTTTTGCCTGTTTACTTGATTATCATCTTAAAAAATACAAGTATAGAAATTGAATTATAAGAAGAGTAATGATCCAAGTAGCGATACTTAAATGAATACAACTGCTTCTATAAAATGGATTCTTTTTTGTTGAAATTTTGGATGTTATTGAGTGTATATATTACTTTTGGGGAATAGTGGGAGTAATTTTGGGGGGGTTTTTTTGCTTCTAAAATTAAAATGACATGAATTTTTATTTATATTTTAAAGATAATTCCTAAGTAAGGGTACATAATTTTTCATTTACCCTTAGAAAAATGAGAGTCGTCAACTCACTCAGATCCAGTACATAGCCTGGCCTGACCATGGGGTCCCTGATGATTCAAGTGACTTTCTGGAATTTGTTTGTCATGTACGAAGTAAGAGGGCTGGCAAGGAAGAACCTATTGTTGTTCATTGCAGGTATTCTATTTTCTGTCCTTTATAATTGAATAGCTGACTAGATGTCATTTTGAAAAGGGAATGTGTAATTTATTTTATCCTTAAGTTGTGATTTTTCACTACAATTAGAATTCACAGCTGTGCTCTGAAAGTAGAAGATAAAGGGTATGTTCCAATGTATGATTGGCAGAAACTTTATCATAAGAAGTAAAAATAATTTTTATTGTACTGATTCTTAGAAGCTTGTCTTTTTCAGTTTAAAGTCTTTGAAATTGAGATGTGTCTTCCAATGGTGGTATCTTAGACTTGATGAACTACAGTAATGTAGGCATTTGGTTGCAGCCTAAGGTTTAGATTTCCCCCACCCAGCAGGTACTCCTTCCTGGCCTGTGGTCCCCCTCAGGACTTTTGGTGAGTACTCTCACATCTCTTGGAATGGCCCTACCCAGTACCATCACAAGATAAGGTGCTCTCAGGAGCTCTAGGTAAATAGCTGCAGTCTGTCCTCTCTTCCTTTCAGACTCATGCCTCCTTCTGCCCTTAAAGGGCCAGGTATAGTGACTCCAGCCTTCACTGGCACCAACCAAGAGATTAGGAGACAGAAATTATTTTCTCCCCATCCTGCCACCTCTGTTTAGTGACTTATTCAGGGAATGTATTGAGGTATCTCTTTATCCTTAAACTTTCCAGCACTTTTTAAGAACAGACTTTCAACTCATCAAAAACACATTATAGACCAAATATTTGAGAGGCAGAATGGCAGGAATGGTAAACTCGTTTGGCCATTTCCTATCCTAAGTGTCCAGTGTCCACTGTAGCCAGATTCACAGAGAAGACTTCAAAAAGTTGGTCTCGGCTATCTCAATGGTAAAGTTTAATCAGAGTTAACTTTGGCTTTAAAAACTGATTTGAGTGTGTAAAATATTATCTTTTGTGTATTTGTTAATGATAGATTATTGTAATTCTGTTATTTTACATTTTAAAGTGAGGTTATTCCAAAAAGTTTCTATACCTTGTTCATATTTTAAAAACTGAAATATTATTCTTTTAAAATAGTATTTTTACAACTAACAATGCAGGAGAGTGTAGATACAAACCATTTTAATCTATATTAAATGTGACATGTTTTTTCAATCTTCAAAATATTTTCTGGTTGGCCTGCTGCATTTATAATATTAAACATTAAAATCAAATTGTTCTTCTATATTGTGGTTCAGTACTTTAATTTTCTGCACAAAATCCACAGAAGTTTAATGGAATAGTATCAGTAAGACCTTGCCTCATATTTGTCTCTTTTAGTGCTGGGATTGGAAGAACTGGGGTTCTTATTACTATGGAAACAGCCATGTGTCTCATTGAATGCAATCAACCAGTGTATCCACTAGACATTGTAAGAACAATGAGAGATCAACGAGCCATGATGATCCAAACACCTGTAAGTATTGTACTTCATGTATAAGTGTGTACTTGAACATGGTGATTTTTGTTATCACTGTTTATTCCAAACTTTATTTTTAGCTTTTTGATTCCCTGCCAGGAACTAATAACCCCTAGCACAGGGATTGTCAGATACTGCCTGTGACCAAATCTGGCCTGCCACTTGTTTTTGTAAATAAAGTTTTATTGGAATACAGCTATGCACATTCATTGACATATTGTTTATGGCTGTTTTAACACTACAGTAGCAGAGTTGAGTTGCAGTAGACACCATATGATCTGTAAAACCTAAAATATTTACTGTGCAGGCTTTTACACAAAATGTATGACAACACCACTCTAACAAGTTAATTCTTGAGGCTTACACAGAATTGCCCTGTATCACTTAGTCAAAGAGAATGCTAAGAATGGTAGTACCCCTGACCTGGAGAATCTTGATAGACCTGCTTTCAGTGAAACACCAGTGGTAAAATTGCCTTTCTTTTTTACGTAAGAACTTAAATTGCAGCAACAACAGAAATCAGAGAAATTAAGCTACTAACTTATTGCGTTCTATAGTGATTCTGAATAATGTTCCAGGAATCAAAAGAGGAATCATGGAATTTTAGAGTTAAAGTTAAGATTTTTTTTTTGTATAAGCCATTGTGAAATATTAGCACTGTCAGTGGCATTAAAGTTACTGAAATGAGCTGATCTGTATGATCCTATAAGTAAGTGCCTGTCGTCCTTTTAGCTTTAAATTATAGAAAATTTCAAACATACACAAAAGCAGACAATATAAATGAACACTATGTTGAGTACTCAGACCCAACGTTTGCCATATTGTGTCATCTGTATTGCCACCTACTCTCCCCATATTTGAAACAAATCCTAGACATCATATTATTTTATCTATAAATATTTTAGTGCATATGTCTAAACGATAAGGAGTGTTTTTCCTCTAAACAAAACCATAATACCATTATCACATCTAAGTATAATTAACAATAATTCTTTAATATTATCAAATAACCAGTATTCAAATTTCTAGTTGTCTCATATAATTCATGTCTTTTTTATTTTAGAACAGCCTTATTGAAATGTAATTCACATACCATAAAATTTACCCTTTTAAAGTGTACAGTTCAGTGGGTTTTTTTGTATAGCACAGAATCTTGCAGCCATCTTTACTATCTAATTTTAGAACGTTTTTATCACCCCGCAAAAAACTTCATACCCATTTTCCTCATACCTTCCCTAATTTCCCCCTGACCCAGCCCTAGGCAACCACTAATCTACTTTGTCTCAATAGGTTTACCTATCTGGACCTTTCATATGAATGAAATCATACAGTGTAGTTTTTGTGATTGGCTTCTTTTAATTAGCATAGTATTTAAAGGTTTATTCATCCTCTGGCATGTGTTAGTACTTCATTCCTTTTTTTGGCTGAATAATATTCCATCTTGTGGATATACCACATTTTGTTTATCCACTCATCATCTGTTGGTGGGCATTTGGATAGTGCCTACTTTTTTACTATTATGAATAATGGACAAATAGGTTTTGGATCCATTTTGAGTTAATTTTTGCATGTGGTTTAAGGTAGGGCTCCAGTTTTATTCTTTTTTTTTTTAAAGGTTTTTTTATTGGGGAATTGGGAGGATGGGAACAGTGCTGGGGAATTGGGGGAAGGGGAACAGACAAGTTGCTGTCGTTTTGTTCTTCAGTCTAGTTGTGGAGGACGTTGCTTCACTGGCCCAAGTTGGCACCATCATTGCGCTCTTCCCGGGCGAGGCACATCAGTCGCCGGCTTCTGGATGGCCGCTCACTGTGGCTGGGGCTGCTCACGCTGGCTGCTGGCTACATACGGTAGCCCATGGCAACCCACTGCCACAGGGGCTGCAGCCTATGCCGTCTCACAGCAGCCCAGCTCCAGGTTGAGCTGTTGTTCAGCATCTTAGCTGTGGAGGGCAGTGTCACTGTCCCTCATATGTGGGATCCGAACCGGGGCCCTCTGGCGTCCCAAGCCAGTTCTTAACATCGCGCCACTCGGCCGGCCCATCCAGTGTTATTCTTCTATATGTGCATATCCACTTGTCCTAGCCCCATTTGTTGAAAAGGCTATTCTTTCCCCATTAATTGTCTCTGGGTCCCTTGTCAAAAACCAGTTGACCACAAATGTAAGAGTTTATTTCTGGACTTTCAATTCTATTTCATTGATTTGTGTGTATATTCTTATGCTAGTACACTGTCTGGATGACTGTAGCTTTGTAATAAAATTTGAAGTCAAGATGTGAATCTCCCAACTCTGTTCTTCTTTTTCAACACTGTTTCGACTATTCTGAGTCCCTTGCATTTCCATGTGAATTTTATAATCAGTTGTCCTTTTTGAAAAAGAAAGCAAGATAGAGATTGACTTAAATCTGTAGCTCATTTTGGGGAGTGTTGCCATCTTAATGATATTCCATCTTCCAAATCATGAACATAAAATGTCTTTCCATTTATATATGTCTTTTAAAAATTTTTTCAATAATGTTTTGTCATTTTCAGTGTACAAGTCTTGCACTTCTTTTGTTAAGTTTATTCTTGTTTTTTAGTCTTTTTGGTGCTATTGTAAGTGGAATTGTTTTCTTAATTTCATTTTAGGACTACTCATTGGTTGGGTCTAGAAATCAAATTGATTTTGTATATTGATCATGTATCCTGCCACTTTGCTGAAATTGTTTATTAACTCTCATAGTTTTTTGTTTGTGAAAGTGGATTCCTTAGGATTCTGTATATAAAGGATCATATCATCTGCAATAAATATAGTTTACTTCTTTCTTTCCAATTTAGATACCTTTCTTTTTTTAAAAGAGATTTAGAAAACATAAACCAATCAAAATGTATGGACCACATATGAATCCTGACACATATTGTAAAAACAAAACTCATTATGTATGATATGATCTAGGAAGTTGACTTCTGGGCATATATCCAAACAAATGAAAGCAGGGTCTCAAAGCAGCCTTGGGTGATCAATGCCTGTATCATTAATGAATTAGTTGGGCTTTCAAAATGATGATACCCTGTCATTCCTTATTTATTTATTAGCTGGAATACTTCTTTAAAGAGGAACTTCTCATCTGCTTCATCTCATCAAATTCCTATTTGGTTAACCAGTCTCTGTAGGAAAGACAAGATAAACACTTGATGCTACCCCTTTATTTATGAGTTTTCAATATAATGAGTTGGTTCATTTGCCTCTCCCAAGTGGTGACCACTTACTTTCATTTATTTTTATATTATTCAGAAATCATGGATTTATACATATATGATATGTTTCTACCCATTATAATTATGATTCTTAATGATGCCTAAATTGTCCCATTTTGGGCCAGTGGGAGCTCTTTAGCTTGGCTCCTGAGCCTTTTTGTCAAGACCCAAGTAACTTTGAAAGCTTCCTTGCCATCAGTAAAGACGTCAAGGCCCCAGCTTGTACACTTCCTGCCCCCAAGTTAGAATCTGTAATTTCTCCAAAAAGTACTGGTTCTTTTTATTGAGAAATTATTTTAGGGAGCACCTCTGAGCACTAGGGTGGTTTATTATTTTTGGGCTAATGTTAGTATTTGTCTCTAGAAATCTTCCAATTGCCAGAGGTAGGAAAACGTATGAATTAATACTTGTGCTTCCAATACAAACACAGAACCACATTGTTTTTACTTAACATCTTTTACCTTACATTTTTATCCCCTTTCTTCTTTAACAAAAATGCTGGTTCTCTACAATACCAGCAATGAAAGACTTAGAATACCACAAGTACTCAATATGTTTTATTCCACATTACCAACAAGTCTCAGAATATCTAGAGTAACATTACTACCACCAACATATAGATACTGAAAAGAATTTTCAGTTTTTTCCAAAGTTCCTTTTTTGTTGTTTTTTGGAGATATTCTACAGGAGATAGGGTCAAATTACTATTTAAAATCCCTTGAAATAGCTCCTCCCTATGTAACTAGATATACACATTGATTTGTGTTATTTTCAATTTATAGAGATTTTTAAATTAATGGTCTAAATATGGGATATATTTCTATGGTTCCAAAGTAAAATCTATGAAAGGATGTATATTCAATGAAGTCTAGTCTTTATCTCTCTTCTGCACCTTATTCCCTCCTTCCCTTTATAGAAAATCATTTTTAATGATTTATCCTTCCCTTGCTTTTTAAAAACTATTGAGATAGATAGATAGATAGATAGATAGATAGATAGATAGATAGATAGATAGATGAATTTGTATCCTCCCTTTCTTTTATAAAGGTAATATATTGTATGGAGTTTTGTCTACCTTGCTTTTTTTACTTAACCAAAATACCCTGCAATCTCTGTAGTGGTCTATAGACTTTTCTTCCCCCCACAACATGGTATTCCACTGTGAGGATGTGATATGCCACAGATTACTCACCATGTCCCTTCCTGATGGCAATTTGGATTGTTTCTACTTTTCTGTTACTAAAAATAATTCGACAGTAAATCACCTCATATATGAATATATGTTTTCAATTTCTTTTTCTAGTTTATCTTTGCATAGATTCCTATTATAGAAGTGGGATTGGTGAGGCAATAGATAAATTAATGTAATTTTGTTACATGCTGCCAAATTGCCATCCATAGGGATTGTGGTAATGCTAAGGATACTAGCAATGTATGAATGAGTTTTGCCAACAAAATATGTTGTCAGACTTTTTTTTTTTCGCTAGTCTGTTCATGAAAAATGGCATCTCTGTGCAGTTTTACTTTGCATTTCTTTTATAAACAAGCCAAGTGAGTTGTTCCCATTTTTTGTTTTGTTTCTTACTTTTTCTGATCAATTCTATTTTTTACATTTTATTTTTCAGAGTCAATACAGATTTGTATGTGAAGCTATTTTGAAAGTTTATGAAGAAGGATTTGTTAAACCCTTAACAACATCATCAAATAAATAAGAAAGCAAAATATCTGGGATATGTGTTGGAAACTGCTTTCCATTATATTCACTGTGCCATAATACTGCTTGCAGGAAGTGGCGTCTAAACAAAACAATGAAGAACTAACAAAAACTGAAAACTTCAGCACTGTTGCACTTTATGTTTAAAAAAAGTCACTCTCTAAAACTTATGATTCATGTGTTTGAAGACTGTTTCATGCTTTGCTCCGAACAAATAGTGAATAACTGAGTACGTTCAGGGTAATTTATGAAATTGTGTGGTGGTGCCATGCAGTCCCCTTCTGGTAGAATTGCCACAAACAAAGCTCAGAATTATCATCATCTCTATTCTCCTCTTGAATTCTGAAAGCAAAAAGAAGTAAACACCAGGAGTCAGCGCTGGTGTTTTCCAGTGATTCATGTACTTACTATACTGATGACCAGATTTTATTTTTTAAATGTTAGCAATATCATTTTCAATATTAGCCAGTACACTGCCTACGGATGCAGCACAGCTTTCCCCATGCCCCCTGTAGAGACCTGCTGTTCATAAGAAGAAAGGTGGAATTTGCTTTCCCAGGAAATGCTGCACATTGTCCATTTACCAGCATCTTATAGAAAGTATAAATATGAATCTACAAATTTTCTTGAATTTAATAATGTAACTTATATTTATCATAAGGTTGGCTTATTCCAAATCATGTGATTTCACATACTTGATGTAAAGGAATGCATGCATCGTGTCTTAACCCCTTAAGTGCCTTGAGACATCTTTGTATGTCTAATAAAAAGGCACTCATTTGACCCCAATAGGAGGTATGTATGTATATTTGTACATTTACATTTTTATGCATTTTGAATCAGTTCACATTTTAAAATAGCTTCTTGTATTGAGACTTATGCAGTCAAAGAAGGGTAAGGAAGTTCTGTTTCTTACTCAATTCCTGTATTTTGCCACAAGAAGCAAAGGTAATTTTTGTTCTACTGAGCGCTCTGCTGCTATGGAATTGTTCAAAATCTGCACATTTCCTTTCCTGAGGGACAAGGGTTTCAATTAGCAGCTCAAGTGAAAAGATGCTTTTTTCTTCAAATTTAATATTTATTTTATGCCTAACTTTGGAAGTAGTATCTATTATACACATTAAAGTTAAACATATTGATACTCTAAGCTAAAGTTAGAGCAATTAATTGTGATTTATTTCTATCACTAACTAAATTATTACTTCTCAGCATTCATTTCAGTTCGTATCAAGCATTGTTCACACTGGCCTATTGGTTGGGATACTTCAAACGAGGAATGAAATGTTATTGACTTGTGTCTAAATGTCATCCCTCAATAACCGAAATGAGGGTCTTCTTGTCATTTTTGTGTACAATTAAATTACTCCAGTTTATATGTATTTACTAAGTTATAAGCATGTTAATATGGAGAGTTTTGATTGTCCTGCCTGATGGAGGATTTGATTCCCTTTGAGGATGTGTATGTTTTCCTCTTCAGGTTTTTTGGTTTTTTTTCAAGTCTATGGAGAGATAAAACTAAAATAGCCCAATTTTAATATAAGTGGAAATTTGCTCACCTAATGAAATGTTATATTTCACAATTATTTTATATGGATGTGGTTAAAGTAGATTCATTTGCTAGTGGTTTCTGAATATTTCAGTATAGTCTTGATAAAATTTAGAGTTGACTGGTAGATATTTTGGAATGCCATTTAGTATGAGGGGGGAAATGTACATTTTAAAAATCTTTAATGTAATCTAAACGATGTTATTTCAAATATTCAAAATCCATAATAATAAATTTTAGGAAGTTAAGTTCTAAACAGTAATAGCCAAGATACCAAATAAATTATTGTATTAAAATATTTTAAGTTCTTTGTAAAAGAGAAGAGTAAACATGTCGAAGAAAAACTCTCTTATCTATTTCTGGATTTTATAGTCAAGACAGTATAAATTAGTAAATAACTATAGTTTTATTTGAACATTCCATTCTCTACCAACAGATAAATGTAATTTAGGCTCTATATGACATGAGGATAAGTTGAAAAGTGAAAAAGTAAAATTATGTTGGGGTCTACATAATTAATAACTGTTATGGCAGGTATTTTTCACCTGAATTAAAAGGAAAACTGTTCTAACTGTATGGATCGAATATGACAACCATAGATTTTTTTTTTAAAAGATGCAGCTGCATAGATATAAACAGATAAATGGTATGGTTGGCATGTTCTTCAATTTAGGGCTTTGTTTACACTTCTAAGATTAACTCTAATAATTTCTTGGCAACGAGCACTGCTGTCTTTTTTAACCATTAATGCCGGTCTTTAAATGATAATATATTAGAAGTTTAGGATTACATTTAAATTTCTCATGTATCAGTTTTTCATCTGGGGTGTATTCTCTGTCTGTATTTTTATGTACAGAAAAGATCCTTTTTTAAAGGCATATTTATTGGGATCTTAAACTTAAAATAAATTATCCTTCACAACTATGCTAATTATGCTTCCCTGTTCACACAACAGATAAGACTTTATCCATTACACCTAAGAAATTTTTTTACCTGTTTATCAGTCTGTTTAGGGTTCTAGGAATCATCCTAGCTTTCGTACACCAAGAAGTTCTAGATTCCATTCATGTCAATGTAATATTGCTTGATAAAAAGGCTAGATTTCTAGTATCTAAACTACTCTTCCCCCTCCTCCAGCCATCTATCTATCTATCTATCTATATATCTATAAATGCTGACTGTTATTCTCACAAGTGGAAATAGATGTTGGTGAATCAAAGGGCTTTTGTAAATGCTAAGAAATATTTGTGAAAACCTTTCCTCTGATTTATGATGGTTTTACCATGTTCATTTCAAATGTTTTATTGAGCATCTAATTTGTGTCAGCACTGTATACGTAGGATGAGGACTATTTTGGAATAGACTTTCCATTCACAAGAAGAATTGGTAGTAGTTGTTAAACCAGTGTATCCATTCAAAATAGAGGCAGAGTAACAGCATAAGAAATAATTTCCTTTGGCCTGGTAGCACAAGTAAGAGGGGAGAAAGGGCTGATCACTTGGATTAAGAGTAAAGAGAAAATTTATATGTAAAAGCTGGCTTCAAATGTGTAAAGGTAAGTTAAGCCATTAAGACAGTTGCTTGAAGGTTTCAAGTACTAATATATACACATAGAGATACTTTTGTGTGTTTATATATTTGTGTGTTTCAGAAAAGCTAATGCTAACAAACAAAGGTAAATGATTATTTTAACTATAGAGTTGTTTATTATCTGTTAGCAGATCTGATCAGGTCTAAGCAGGTATTTGAGCAAAAGTCTCCTGTCTCCACTAGAAGCACTATACCTTGAGAGCTAAAAGGAACTTGAAAGATTTTATCTAATCTCACCTTCTATTAGTTTAGGCAACATATGTGGATATCATAAATTCTCATGATTTTTATGTATATTTCAGCTCAAAAGTTATACTCAGGCAGTGATTTTACTTAATAACTTTGATGACCTTAGAAGATGTCACTTAAGGTAGAAAATAAGTAGGTTTTAAAAAGTGATCCTAATTGAGACCCCAACTCAGTTTGCTAGCCATGCTTGCCTGAGAGAACATAAGCTTTTGTAAGGTATTTAGACTGGCATACATGCAGTGTAAAAACATGCTAAAATGCAAGTTAGAAGACTAATGTTGAAAAGCACTTAAAACATAGAACTAAGATTTAGAATATATGTCCACTTAAAATCAAATAACTTGTGTTCATAATGTGAACATGTAGTAGAATTAAAGCATTACTTGTTTTATAATCTTTTCAGGAAGGGAGAAGAAAATAAGAATTTTTAACAATGTTCCAGTAAATACCTGTTTTTGGAATATTTAAAATATTCTGATGGTAAGGTTGCCAAAGTAGTTTTGAATTCATAAAAATTATTTATACCACAATAATGTGGGATATGTTTACATCTCTTTTATTTTGTAGTAATTGTTTTGTAGTTCAGGTAAATTTGCATTTAAGCCACTTAGACTAACAAATACATTATGGTAAATATTTGTTGGAATAAACACCTGCTAATAATATGACAAGACAAAGATAATTTATGCGACAGCTTGCTTTTATGTAATCTGTCACATCAACAAAGAAACTACATTAACATTTCTCACTTCCCACATTTGCTTCAGCTATCCAACCACAATTTCTACGATCATTTTTGTGTGTGTTTCCTCTAAGTAAAATAGCTATGTTATTAAAATCCACTGGATTAATTTTATCAAATATCAGAGTTACTGATCTGTTGGCAGAGATTTATTGGTGTCTCAGTGTAATTACAACAAAAGTCGTAGCAACTGTTTCATAAAATTTTTTGAGAATTGTGTAGAGACAAAGGAATTTACATCATAAAACATTTTGAGTGCTAACTGCTTAAAGATAATTTCAGCAATTTTATAAAGAGCATATAAAATTAAACTCAATTGTATTTTGGGGGGTTTAACTTGCTTTACAATGTCTGCAACTATTATCCACACAATTTTTTTATTATATACAGACTTCATTCTTAGTAGCAATTACTACAATACGCCTATCAGTGTTGTCAAAAACAAGCCCTATTTCAGCTAGAAATTAGACATTTTATTTTTATAATCTTGGTGAAGTCATCATAGACACCAAATTGTTATTTCTGTTTCCATATCTAAATTTGCTGCTATTTATATGTAAAGTTTTCTATGACAGTTTACTGTTGATTTCTAAAGTTTTGTAGTCGTTTTTGGTTTAGTAATTCAAGCTAAATGGACATCCAGAAGTGGTATCTACTGGGATGCAATTCATCAATATTGACTAGATATGGTTCATTGCATAAATAAGTAAACAGATTTTTTTTTTAATTTACAAAGTGAAAGGTATTAGCAATATTGCAGTTAAAGACTACACTTTTAGGAGGAAGTTCTAATGTTTAACTTCCTGAAACCTTTAAGATTTCAAATACAAGAATGAAATGTTTGAAAGCCTTGTGGTCACAAAAGTTTCAGTTAAACACTAGAATTTTCCTATCTGTTGTGATGTAAATGATATAGAAAAATATTTTTCTATGGACGAAAGACTGAAACTGTTAACTTCTTTTACTTCATTGTTTAAAAAGGAAAAAAATGATATTTGTATGTCTTTCATGCTGTAAAGAAAATGAATGTATCTTTCAATTATTAGAATTATGACTTGATTCTAAGGATACTTTTGTTTAAAAAAAATCAGTGAGGGATTGACAAGAAGGAAAGGAAGAATGTATTCCACTTCATTATAAACAAGAACAATCATTGACACATATTTCAAATATAATGTACATTCTTTTTCATTTTGCTTTGTTTTAGCTCTGGAATAGGAAATTTGAAGAAAATGTGTGTGTACTGTTTTTAAGTGTAATATAACTGAATTCTAGACTTCTCTGGAGTGTGGAAGGTTGGTTTTTGGCTGATTGTGTTTACCGTGAAGGAAAGTTCTCACGTTTGGCACTATGGCAGCCACAAATGAGGATTTTGTTGTTGAGCATGTGATTTGGTGAAGCCAGAAAACCGTGCCTAAGATTCACCAGTAAATATGTGCAGAGGCCCCTGACAAATAGCTCTGCCTCCTTATTCTCAGTGTCTTAGATAAGCCCAACTTCTACTTGTAGCAGTGGTATCTTATATGTTTAGGGTCTGTTCCTTCAGTTGAAGAAAAACAACTGAAAAAAAAACCCTATATTTTAGACCAAAATCTTTATGTATGATTAATTCCACAATTTCTTAAAAAGTAGTATTTGTTATTTATTAGTCATTAAACTTGACTCGATGGAGCCTTCATTATTTTGACACCTGATTCTAGCCCTCCAACCTGTACAAACTCATAACTTCCCTTTACAGTCGAGTCTTTGTGAAGTACCCTGGACAACTAACTATAAGGGGATATCTCCCTTCATTAACTTTTGGTAACAGTTGTTAAAAGAGTACTGTCAGCCCCCTCTCATTCCTGGGAGTTTCCAAAATTTAACAAATACTATTTAACTAAATAAAATGCCACATTGCTAAATGAAATTATCACCGTGAAGTCCACAAGGGGGCCCAGCCCTGCTTACAATCTTAGATCCAAATAGGTGCTGATTTGTGGTTTCCCCAAATCCACTGTAGTCAAAATTGAGCCCATTTTACATTTTATTTTAAAAGCTTTTTGGTTTTTCCTCCTGACTTGTAGTGTCCCAGTTATTTGCCCTCATGGGCAAGAAAATACCAGCCGAATTCTGGGATTCTCTGCTCCCCATCTTTTCCCACGCTTCAGTGAGTTGACAAGATTACTCATTCTTTCTTGCAGTGTGTAGAGTAGGTCACGTTTCAATGCTGAAATTGATTCCTTGAATTTCAAATAGTAGCACTTTATTTCATGCTTACTACTGACTTAATTTATACATTTAAAAATACCCTATGAGTTTGTAAATATTGAAAAAGTTTAACGGATTAGTATGTAGAGCTCATTTGATTAGACCCAAGTTTGAATACTTTACATCAAGCTCTTGGTCATTTGATATTGAAGGGTAACTTGTGTAATTTTAGCTTTGCCACTTTTCTGTAATTTATTTAGTACAATAAAGCTACCCAGTTGCTTGTATGCTGCACTCTGAGTTCTCTCAGCTAGCTTCAACCAAGTTTGGTTTACTGTAATCATTTCTGCTTTGCGTTTTTGTACATTACATAAATACTTGGAAATCCATTTGTTTTGTTTTAAGTTGTACCTAGGGGTTAAGTTAGTACTGCACCACAAGTACATTGAAGGAGGCAAAGTCCTGACACTTCAGATACATGTCAAAGGGCAGGATTTAAGAGACAAAAAACAGTTTAAGCTGTTTTCATTTTCTAGCATTAGAATATATGTGCTTAGAAAGTTAAAACTGTCCAACCCAGTGTTCCTACAGCATCAGGTCATTGCAGTTACAATCCATATTGTAGTCTTTTCAAATAGGAAAAGCTAGTCTTTATTTTCTACAGTGTAGGCTTAATTTTAGGACAGATAAGTTTACTATATACTCATCTGTGATACTTTGAAGTAGAGGTTTTAAAAATAATTTCTGTATCGAGTGTTTTAATTTGGGTTTTTTCTTATAACAGGTGCTATATGTAAATATGAAGGGCAAAAAGTCACTTAGTCTAGTTTATTTCCTAATTAAAACATAGTTTTACATTTCTGCTGCCATCTCACATTTCATTGTACTGAACTAGTAGCAAATGGAATTAGCCCCCTAATTTTTCAAACTAACTCTTCCCCTTTTTCACAAAAATATATCTCTTTTCATAGGGCTTGTTCCCTAATTAAGAAACAAAGAAGTGTAGGATTCATTTAAAATGCGTAAGCTTGAATTTGGTCAACACTGCATAATTTGAAATCACTGTGCATTTGTCACTGCACTTAGTATATGCTTGAAAGGCCTTGTGTATTTATTTGTTTTAATATCAGTGAAAAATTAGAATTCCTGCAATTCATGTAAACAAAAATCTAAATATAGCAAACAGGATAAAAATGCTGATTTGCATTAAAACTGTTTTAGTACTAAGAGCAATTTGTTATGTGAAATGCTATCACGTGATTTGTGGGCCATATTTCAATTTGATTGAGAAATAGTTATTCAGGTACAAACGTGAAAAAAACTAGTTGTGACCTTTAATTGTTCAATTGCTAAATAAAGATGTGATTTAGTAATTTAAAGTGTAGGAGTTTTGAAGATTATTTTTTGTGAATTTTTTGTTGGGCTTTTTGAACAATGGTTATATTCATTAATGGGTGATCAGGAGGGACTAAGAATGCTAAGTGACATTTAATTCTAGAATTACTGGCTCACATAGTGTCTCTGTTGAGGAGAGGGAAGAGGGTAAATAAGGAACTAAAAGAAATTTAGAAGAATAAAGGATTTCTGATACCTTCTCCCAGCAGTAGCCCCTCTCTTCTGGTATTCAATGTAAGATCTCCTCAGTCACAGTAAAGGATCTTTCTATTCCTGAAGTCAGCTTGCTTCATATCTTCACCAAGTTCAGTTAGGTATGCCATTTTTCATCTGAGGGAAAATAATTTCTTAGAGAAAAAATATTTAAATAATTTCATAACTAAAAATAAATTACACCAAAAGTCAGAAATAAAGACTTATGATTGTGCCATGACTGTTCTTATGTGCAAGATCATAAAAATTGAAACAGTATAAGGAAGATCCGAGAGGAGTTACGAAAGCCTCTTCTATATACACGTTCCACCCCAAAGAACAGTCCCTCTCAAATGCCTACCCCTGTGAAACTTTGTGATTTCTTCTGGGGGAAGAAATGTGTGTGCATGCATTTGTGTGTACATACACATTTTGTTAATGTCAAAGAGATCATACAGTATATTCAGCTTGCTTTATTGGAAATGTTTCCCTATCAGCATATTCAGATCTACCTCATTCTTTTTAATCACTGCTTTGCACTCCACCATATGGATACACCATGATTTAATTTCTTATTGGACACTTAGCTTGTTTCTAGTTTATACCGTACAGACAGACACTTAGCTTGTTTCTAGTTTATACCGTACAGACAATGCTGCAATGAACATTCTTATGCAAATATTTTCTTTAATCATTGCAAGTATATGCATAGGGTAAGTTTCTAGCAGTGAGATTGCTAAGTCATAGGGCACCTACATTTTTAAATTTTAATTAATATTGTCTAATTGTTCGCAGAGTAGATTATACCAGTTTATGCTTATAACCAAAGCATATGAGAATGTTTCCCCACGTTCTTATTAGAACTGGTGTCAAACTTAATTTTTTGCTCATCTCATAAGTGAAATAATATTTTATTTTGATGTGTTTCTTCTGTAAGGTTTAGATCTTTATTGATCCCTTGTATTTCTTGTTTCCTAAATTTTTTATTGACGTTCTTTCCTTTTACATCAAGTTGTTTAATGTTTTTTCATTATGAGATGTTGGAAATTAAAGAAATTAGTCATTGGACATTCATATATGTTGCAAAATGTTTTTCTTATGGTGTTTGATTTTATTCCTTTTGAGAGCTGGGGGGTATGATAACAATATTTTCATAAGCAAATCTATCAATCTTCTTAATGACTTCTGAGTGTGGGGTATACCTGCAAAAGCTTTTCCTAATCCCTATTAACATTCCATCGGACTAAAACTTCCTTAGCCACCATCTAAATAGCCTCCTCTGGACTGGCACTCTCCTGTCTTTCCCCTTGGCCACTATTTAGTGCTCATAGTTATGTAGGAGCTCTTCTAGTTCCAGCAATTAAGTTGTAAGCTTACTAAAATCAGTTGTGTGTTAACTTACATACGCAAATTTATTTACCTTTATTATTTAGTTAATTAAATATTACACAAGCCAATGAAATGTGAGGGTGAAAAGAAAGAGGGTAGGGTTTTCGCAAAGGCCTTGTAAAGGTATCATTAAAACTATTCTTTAAAGAATTATTAAAAATGGGTATAAGCAATACAATTAAGAGAAACTAACAGAGAAAAAGAATAGATGATATACTTGAGAGAATAACAGACAAAAATAGATGATACCGTTGGGGTCTGTTTTTTTGCAACAAAGACTAAGGGATTATAATCGAGCTCAAACCCAAAGTACAATAAAAAGCCTTGGCCCTACATAAAAAGAATCACAAATGTATATGCATTTGTATATCTTAAGCTAAAACACAGTGCATGTACTTTTTTTATTTCTCCTTTAAATGGTTTTCATTCAACCAATCAACCATTATTTCTGATCCCATCTGCTATGTGGGTTTCTACCATAAATTGATATAATAATTCCTCAAATATTTAGGCAGTTTTTAAATTTTGACTATTAAAAACGATGATACAGTTAGACTTCTATATATTCTACCTTTTAAATTATGCTTGTACATATGGGTCTATATATAAATTTTCCCCCAACATTGTATTAAGAAAATATTCAAACAAAGAGAAAGAATTGAACTTTGAACACCTATATACCCATTCCCCAGTTTCAACAATTAACATCCAGCTATATTTGCTCTATCTCATTTATGATCATCTACTAAGCCTCTCTCCATCCACCAATCCATCTTTTTTATGCATTTCATTAATGTTGCCGATATTTGTACACTTCTCCCCTGAACACTTTAGCATGCATAGCATTAACTAGTATTCAATAATTGCCTTTTTTGACATCTAATTTTTATCAATAAAATAAGCAAATATTAAGTCTACCATTCAGTAAGTTTTCTCAAATGTATATGTCTGTGTAACTCAAACCCCTACATAAGGGTTTGATATAGAACATGCGCATCACTCCAGAAAGTTTCCTCTGCCCTTCCCAGTCCATTACTGCCCTCACCTTTCCTCCCTTTATTAGTGTCCTAGGGCTACCATAACAAAGTACACAAACTGAGTGGCTTAAAACCACAGAAATCTGTTGTCTCACAGTTATGGAGTCCAGAAATTCAAAATCTCTCTCTCTCAATCCAGACATTTAAAGAAATATTTTTGAAGTCACTGGCTGACCCCAAAGATAACAGAAACTTCAGTGACCACAGTAGTTTGGTGGGGAGGGAGGAAAGAGTAGGTGGAGAACAGGAATTTTAGAACGGTGAACCTATTTTGCATGATACTGTCATGGTGGATACATGTTATGTTACATAGAATGTGCAACACAAAAAGTGAACCCTGATGGGACTTTATTTATAGCAGCGTATAAATATTGACTTATCAAATGTAACAAATGTACTACACTAATGCAATATGCTAATAGGGAAAATTCTGGGGGTGGAGGAGGAAAAGGGGCTATACAGGAACTCTGTGCTTTGTCCTCAAATTTTCTGTAAACTTCAACCTGTTCAAAAAAATAAAGCTCAATAAAAAATTTTTTTTTAATTTAGCAGCTGCCTCCCTCCAGCACTCCCCATCCCTTTCTCCTGTTGCATTTGTGCACCTGACGTACTATGTATTTTACTTATTTATTTTGCTTTATGCTCTAATTCCTCACTTGTAATGTTAGCTCCAGAAGGTCAGGGACGCTGTGTTGCTCATTGCTATATCCCCAGTACATACAATGGTGCCTGACACATAGTAGGCTCTAAATAAATATCTGGTGACTTTTTCAAATGCCAAGAATGGAGATAAAATGGAATCCTAACCAATACTCAATAAATCCAAAATTAGGCAGGCATACTTCCTTGCCTATTCTAGATTCTGATGTTCACTGGCAACTCTGTATATTCCTTTGTTTCTAGGTGCATCAATTTAATCTCTGCCTCTGTCATCATATGGTCATTTTCTCCCTGTTTTTATTGCCTTTCCTCTATGGGTATCTGTCTCTTTCTCTAAATTTCTCTTATAAGGACACCAGTCATATTGGATTAGGGCTTAGTCTAATGACATCATCTTAACTTGATTTCATATGCAAAGACCCTATTGCCAGATAAGGTCACATTCACTTATATTAGGGATTAGAACTGCAATATGTATTTTGTGTTGGAAAATAACAGTGTCCTACAGGTCTCTGAGATTCCTTTCTATTATTCAGACTGAATAATCTCAATTGACCTATCTTCAAGTTCACTTATTCTTTCTTCTGCCAGCTCAAATCTACTGTTGAGCCACTCTAGTGAATTCCATATTTGTTAGTGCACTTTTCAAATTTAGAATTATATTTGCTGCTTTTTTATAATTTCTATCTTTTTATTAATATTCTTTATTTGGTGAGACATCATTCCCATGCTTTTTAAAATTTCTTTAGATATGGTTTCCTTTGGCTCTTCAAACTGTGAAAAATAATATAAACGGAGCCACTTCAAAATGGAGTCGGAGCTGCCATCCTAGAGGAACTGCATTGCATGCCTTACTCCTCAAAACTTTGGAATGTTTAAATTGGACAAAATAACTTTTGGACTGGGCTAAAGAAGCATTGTATTCCAAACAACTTTTTACAAAGCTAACAAGAAAGCAGACATTCTTTAGAATTAGCACCACCATGTATAGCTAAAGAATATTTACCTTATTTGCACCTGTAGAAATTCCTCCCTTGACTTAACACCAATAGAAATTCCTTCCCTCTATTCATATAATTATTCCTCTTCCCTTTCTCATAATAACCCTTTGCCTTCACCCCCTAATTAGAACACTAACTGGGTTTCTGCTGAATCAGTGCTTCCAGAATAGCTATTCTTTTGCATCTCAAATAAATGCTTGTTGCCTCTCACTTTGACCTTTCATTTTTATGTTAACATATTATATTTAAAACAGCTGATTTCAAACCTGCGTTTAATAAATCCAATAACAGATATTCCTCAGGGACAAAACATTGACTGCTTTTGTCTTGTTTCTTATTTCTTTGCTTGTTTTTTGTTTTTGTTTTTTTTATAAAATTTCATTGGGAAATTGGGGGAGGGGAACAGAAAAATTGCTGTCCTTTTGTTCTTCAGTCTAGCTGTGGAGGATGTCGCTTCACTGGCCCGTGTTGGTATTGTAATCATTACGCTCTTCCCAGTTGAGGCAGATCGGTCGCCCACCATTGGACGGCCACTCACGGCAGCTCACGCCGGCCACTCATGGAAACTCATGGCAGCCCACTGCAGCCCCACTGCAGCCCCACTGCAGCCTACACTGTCGCCAGCGACTCATGGCAGCCCAGCTCCAGATCGAGCTGTTGTTCACCATCTTAGCTGTAGAGGGCGCTGCGTCACTGGCCCATGTG